ATTAAGTTTTATATAGTTTCTATGTAACTACTTGTATAAATTACCCAATAAAAGATATGAGCAAGGCCTTACCTTAATACCAAAAAAAAAAAAAAAAAAAAAAAAAAATTAATTACTTATTTAATATTAAATTATTTAATATATAATATTAGTCAATTATTAACAACAAAACAATCTTAGAACAATGGCTCCGAATTAATATTGCTACAAACAATTTCTTCTATAACACATTAAATCTACCTGCAAATTCCAATATATTATCTCAGAAAAACAACTGTTACTAATTATCTCATATCCTGAAATCACAATTGGAAAAATAATTACTCAATTTAATAACTATTTCTACTTTCAAGAATACAACTTATATACTGATATATCAGGCATTTTAATACTTGACTCTACTCCTACTATATACACAGTAATATTTAACCAAATCATAAACTTTATATGCAAAACTATTTACTTGCAAAATATTTACCAACTAGTTTTTGATTTAACAGAAATACAAGCACTACTAGAAATTTCCTCCTCACTTCAAGCCCCACTTCCTATTCTAACTTCTTCTATTACAATTAATAATCCTAATATAATACTTATTGAAAATATAATCTTAACCTCATTTTACAAAAACAAACTTATAAACTTACAAAACCTTTTTCTAACTATATTTACAAATAATCTACATTTTTATTCAGATACTTCAATACAAAATACCAAATCACCAAATATTTAAGCAGAAATTAGCTGGTTTTTAAAAAACAACATACAAATCAACTTTTACTTTGCATCAACAAATACACAAAATACTAATCATTTAGAAACTGAACCAATTATTTATCTACTTCTAACTCTCCCAAATAATATATATTTTCATATTCATATTAATAATTCTACAGCAATATATAGTCTCCAAAAACTTCTAACTGACTAACCAATTCAAATTAAACAAGAAAACTGAAATCACCTTTATATTATTAATAATCTTCTTAAAATTAAAAATATTACATATACTGTATACAAAACAAAATCTCACTCAAAAAAACCAAATTTACTACACAATTATGCAGAAGGTTGTTATTAGCCAAAAATCGAACTTAATTATAACTATTAAATCCCAATACTCTATTTTTCATAGTATAATAATACAATTTTTATACTAATTCAGAAACTTACTAAAACTTTCTATACTATCTGTAACCTTTCTTCATCAATCTTTCTAATAGCCTTCTTAATTGGTTTATAACTGAAATCTGGACTCCAAGAAATCAAACTTAACACAGTTGGGAACTTGCAAGAAATATAACAATTAATCAAAATGCACAAAAACATATTTTCCCAAATTAACATTATATCAAAACTCTACTACTATTTTTAATAATAATATTGATCAATATATTCAAAAATTACTTTTTTAAAACTTTACAATTTTTTTATGTATTAATTAATTATATTTATTTTCGATAATTTTACAAATCCCTTATATATTTATTATATATCTAATTAACAATCTAACCTTTATTCAAAATTTATTAAGATTTGATATTTTTAAAACTATACTAAATTCTAAAAAACTCTTTTCATAATACAAACTCTATATCAACCACTACCTACAATATTTACACTATTGCTAACTTCACTAAAATTTTCTGTCTGACGTAATATCTTTAACTTCTCTAATCTCTGTGCATACTTTCTTTTTAGATCAAGAAAATAATTCAAAACACATTCATTTTGTCCACTTTCTGATTTTTGTTTAGCTATCTGTTTTTGAATTCAGTCTTCTATTTCTTCCAACCTCTTTTTTATAAACTTCTCCTCATTTTGTAAACTATATAATTAATTCCTTTTTTTAACTTTTAAAATATAACTTTATTGCCAACCTATATATTAATAATACAAATACATATCTATCCACTCTTGAAAACCCAACTAATAAAAAATCATAAAGATAAATTTCTTTAGCCCACTCTTCTGAAATTTTACTAATATTCTCCACAACTTCAACTTGCGACAAAAGCATTTCTTCTTCACAAGTTAAAGCTACAACTTTATCCAGAACCAAAACCTCTTTTTTTTTTGAAGGCAAATCTTCTATCTTTTTTAGAGGCAAACTTCTTTTAAAACTTCTTTTCAAATAACTCTTAAAATAACTTCATCAGCTTATTTTTAGTCTAAAACATAAACCAACCCTAAACAAAAAACCTTAAAATAAATATATTCATTGTACAACACAAAATTTTCCAACAATCAATATGAGATCAAATCAAGTAATCTAATTGGTAAATCCTACCCAAATCAAATTTTCAAAAAATGTACAAAAATGATTTTCATTATCATAACATTTGTAGTATAGTGCTTAGGCTATATTGTACTGCAGGGCTGTATATGCAACCCTTTTAGTGCATGCTAGATCTGGTGCACCAAGGTAGCATTATCTACTACAATACGAATACCTTTTTTCTTTCTTTTTTTTACTTTAATTATTATTTATACAGTTTTTTTTCTTATAAGTTCTCTTATACACTATGCTTTAAATACATAGTACTACAGGATTATAAATTAAAAATTTTATATTTTCTTCTTCTTTAAATACTTTTATTCTTTATTATTATTATTACTTATTTTATAATATCCTTTTAGCTCTATCTCAACTATCTTAATCTTTATATATATATACTTTACTATTTTATATTAACAAGGTTTTCTTCTAGCCTTTCTTTAGCTAATAGTAGTTTACTAACTTAAATTAGCTTTAAAATAGAAAATTGGAGATGTAATGTCATGTCAATTTTGATGCTATAGAAATTCTATCTGTTTAACTATTATGTATTTATGTAATACTTTGTAAAAGTTATTTGCTTTTCTATATATGACATTAACAATAATAATAAAAAAAAAAAAAGTTAATATATAATAAATATTATAATTAATTACTTATTTGATACTAATTATTATAGTATATAATTAGTATTAAAATTATTTATTTATTTAATACTTATTTTTATAATATATAGTAAGTATTAAAATTAATTACTTATTTAATACTAATTTATTATAGTATATTATAAGTATTAATTGATGATCCACTACTCAACAGAAGTATAATCATAGTGTAACATGATGCAGTTTACTATATAAATCTAATATAGCCCGAATATGAAAAATTTTTACTATTTGCCTAAAGAAAACTTTTTTTGTACTAAGTTAATTAACTTTGTTATTTAATTGAAAGCTGTAAAGTTTGTCTTTGCAGTTCTAATAGTAGTTAAATTATCTGAATCAGCCTAGTGAATGCCAACATATCTTTAAAAAACTTTTCTTTAACTATGTAAACTTCTTTAAAACAATTACAAAGAAGTTTATATAGTTAAAGAAACGTTTTTTAAGATATTTTGGCATCTACAAGGCTGATTTGAATAATCTAACTACTATTAGAACTGCAAAGACGAGCTCTACAACTTTCAATTAAGTGACAAATTAATTAACTTAGTATAAAAAAAGTTTTCCTTATGAAAATAGTAGAAATTTTTTATATTCGGGCTATATTAGATTTATATAGTAAACTGTATCACGTTACACTATGATTATACTTCTGTTGAGTGGTAGACCATCAATTAAAATTAATTAATTATTTTAAAATATTTAATTAGTATTATACTTAATTACTTATTTAATACTAATAATTATAAATATTTAAAATTAATATTTATTTTGTATTAGATTATAATAGTAAATAAATACTTGTAGTAAATATAAATAAATACTTACAGAACACTAAATATTTAAAAAATATTATTAGCAAGCATTTATTTAATAATAGTGTTTAATTAATATAAGATAGTAATTGGTTTATCTTTCTAATAATAGTAAAAAAATAGCCAACATCTTGAAGTTTTATTTAAATAATTAAAGAGTATGTTATATCTTATGATCAAAGTAAAGAGCAACTTAATAAAGACTCTCAAGAGGATGATGATATACAAACAGGAATTAACATGTTATGATTCTGCTCAAGAAGAAATAGTTACTATACTTGGTAAAGAGTAGTTAATACTCTACTGAGTTCATATATAATAGAGATAGAAAATTAGCCAAAAATGCTTTTATCTATCTCTGATAATAATACTATACAAACCCAAGTTTTACTTGAGCAATCTGTTGAACCAGACTGTCAATCCTCAATGCCAGAGTTATCTGATATTCCACAACTATCTTTTGAGCAATCATTATCTAAAACTGAATTAATTAATCAAAATGAAATTAATAGTATGTATACAGATAAGATTTTTGTTGCCTCAATTGATTAAGATTCAATTAATAAATCTTTTTATACAAAAACAATAAATAGAGTGTAAGTATTGTAAAAAATTTTGCAGTAAATTCACAACTGTAATTCTAATATAAACTTATATAGGTTGAATAAATACTCTAATTGGTATCACATAATCCAGATATGAACGCGATTTGAAATAGTTATTTTGTACAAATAGGGGATTTTTAAGATACAAAATCACATTTATATAGGAGTTCACTATATATCAAAATGCTAATAGCACTATAGGTAAATCGATAAAGCTATAAAATAAGCTTTATCTATTTACCTATAAAGCTATTAGCATTTCAATATATATTGAATATCTGTTTCAAATTGGGTTCTGATTCGAACCTAATAGTAAAGACTTATTTTTACTAATTTAAGTCATGATAATTTGGATATACTGTAGTTTAAATTAATATATTCGAATTATAATCATTACATGTTTTAAATTAGTAAAAATTAATTTTTACCATTCCTACCTTAATTTAATTTGTGTTACTTATCCTTGCATCTGGTTAATTTTTGAACCTTTTTTTTAATCACAAAAACTAATAAATCTGATCAATGATCTTTTAAATTGTAATTTTTACTAGATATAAGATAGTCAATTGATATATAAGTTACTAGAAGTACTCTAAGTTTAAAAAATCACATATTAAAACTTACATCTACCCAATTATCTCATGTTTATCTGATAACTTTTTTGATCAATCAAATCAACAGCAAATCGATTACTGTTATGTTTATTTATGCCAATATTGATATATAATATATTAGTCAGATAAAAATCTAACCACTATCAATTAGCTAATACACTTTAAATTTTGAAATACCAAATAATTAGGCATCTGGAAAATGTGTACCGGGTTGAGATCAGATGATCGTCCGAAAAGCTAGATTAGAATAGTTAGCATTCAGAACTAAAAACAAAAATTAGTTATATATATATATGTTGTCTAGCTAATAAAATAAAGTTATTTATGAGGTGTGGCGACTTAGTGTAGTGGTCTAGTCGTCACTCTCTCCAAGTGGCAGGTCTAGAGTTCAAATCCCATGGTCAACAAAATTTGAAAAATAGCCTGTGTTTTGGTTTACGGTTGTGATTATTAGTTGGATCTAGAAATCTGTAATCTCGGTCACACTATTATGTAAAGGGAGCTTTGGCACAATAAATCCGAGGAATCAGCATAACCGAAAACCTATTTGGCAAGTCCTGAATTTGAAAGTAGCAGTGATCTTCAACGGTGCCACAGGAGGGCTAAATTCAAACCGGGGCCTGAGATTGAAGAATCAAGCGATTAGGTCCTTAAGTAGGGGGACATACCAGCTGAACTGCTAGGCCAACGCACTGGAGGAAAAGGTCATACGCTCCGAAAATATGGACCAAGGGGAGGGCGTCCTTTAGGCATCTAAAGCCTGGGCAGACCGACCTGTCCGAGTTGCCGGTAGAAGTAAGAGAGAGACTGATAAAGAATCCGGGTAAGAAGATGGTCCAAATGTGGGTACTAGGGTTGTTGTGAACTGAATAAGGGCAAGAAGTACATAATGGGCGCCTAGTTAGGAAGGTTGGTGCTTAAGAAATGTCCGTAGAATAGCAGCACCCCAAAAGATGGCATGGGATACGCATATAGAACGGCAGGTCAATATGTACTAATTAGAAAGAAGTTATAGGAACATGCAGGTGAATACATGTGTGGAACATGTACCGCTCTGTTAGGTTTACCTTCGAGAATAGATTAGCCATATATAGTTAGTAAGTCTTAATGATAGAGATTGACAAAATCTATGTGGTTAGTAAGTCCTAAGGTAGAGTGCGAAATCCACAATGGGTAATATTCAAAATCTACGTATGTATGGTGAGGTACATCCAAGGTTAGAGAGCTGCTAGAGGTAGTTAGAACCAGATGGTTTAAATGGGTACCCCCCTAGTTGGGGTGCAGGTACAGCAGATAGTGTAAAACCTTCGGGCGGACTACTTAAATTAGGCACTCAAAAGGTACACATGTGGCTTGATATACCATCATTGTAATTACATTATAAAACTCTAGTTATACTCTAATAAAAAGTCTTCAGGCCAAAGAAGGTCACCTTAACACCAAAAAAAAAAAATAATAAAGTTATTTATTGTCATTAGCTTATCATTTTTTAAATTATAATAATCAATAATGAATTTTGTTTGTTTTTTCTTGTAAAAAATAAAAGTGATGCAATATTTGTTATAAGTATATAAGCTTTATTTCATTAATTACATACAAGAAACTATCAAATTAGGACTTAACAAACTAAAAAAAAATAGAATATATCAAATCTACTTATGTCACTTTACTAAAAACTTTGTCACTTATATGTCACAAGTTGAAGCTATAATAGCCAAATATGAAATAAGCAATGTTCGATTATCTAAAAGTGAAATTAAAATTAGTTGGTATTTTAAATTTTAATTGATACTAATTCAGAATATATTTAATTTCTATATAGCAATGAAGATCCAATAAGCATATTATATCCATGAAAATCAACTTATAATTAGTAATATACAATAATAACCAACTTCTTGTCGATATTGAATATTTTAAGAAGGATACGAAAATCTGAATTTATATCAATAGACAAGTTAGTGTTTTATTTATTTTACCAAATTTCATATAGTTAATGAATATTAAGAAAGAAAATATTGATTAATTTGAAATGAAAAGCATAAAGAATGATTGTAAAGAGTATATAAATTATTGAAGAAAACAAACCAATAAATAAAAAAAATAAATTATTATAATGTCAAAATTTGTATTATTTTATGTATAAGATATGTGTTGTAAATTGTATTAAATATTGTTTTATAATATCGCTATATATAATTAAAAAATAAAGTCTTAATAAAAGGAAAAAAAAAGTAAAAATTTGAAAATATTTTCTGGACTATCATCCAGACAATCATTTGATTTCAACCCAGTACTTATTTTCCAGATGCAAAAATTAGCCTAGATGATATTATAAGTATATAGCTACTTGCCATGTTGTATTAAACTAGGAAAAGCTGAATGTAAGCTTAATTCAGAAACTTTTGACCAACTCTATTACAGAATAGTTTAAATTCAGATAAAAAAAATATTGGATATTCAACTAACTATAGCATGATGTGAGATGCTATAATATAATTTTCATAAGATTTTAAAATGTATATAGTATAAAGTATAAAATATCTTTTAAAAAACATCAATTATACAAATTAATGTGAACTAGAAGTTGAATAAGAGAATAGTTTATATTAAATGTTTAAACCAATTAGACTACATAATAAATAATTGCTAAATATAGAGACTATAAGTAATTAGCTAGCTACCAAGATAGTGTATAATTCTATAATTATTGAAGCTGATTCTTACTATAATTTTACTAAAGATTTATAATCTTAACACTTTTATAAATTAAATAAAAATTATTATGAATTAAATAAATATTTTAATTTATTTAGCTATTATATTTTTATATACTATATATAGTATAATAGGAGCAAAAATTTATTTTTCTTAATATAATTTTATTGATTAATTATTTAATATAGTTATAAAAAATTTTAATAATTTAATACTAATCTAGATCTAAATTTTATTATTAATTTTAAATTATATATTTTTATTTCTGTGCATTATTGCACAGGTTTTTAGCTAGTATAATATATAAAAATATTATTTATTTGTATAATTTATATGATATTCTTGAATATATTATATGTTATATAGCTTATAAATTAAATAAGTTTTAAATAAGCCAATGGGAGTATAGAATAAACCAATCATGCTAACTCAATTCAGAACACTGAATATTAGTAAAAAAAAAAGAGGATTTACAACTAAATATTCTGCATATTGATTAATACAAATAATAGTATATAAAGAAATCATCAGGAAATTTTTAAATAAGATGCATATTGATTACTAGCTGCAGGGTTAATTGCAATTAATTTTTATCGATTATAATCGATTACAATCATTTAAATTTAAATGATTACAATCGATTGTAATTGATATAAATCAATTGCAATCATTTAATTTAAATGATTGCAATCGATTATAATTGATATAAATCAATTGCAATTAACCCTGCAGCTAGTAATTGATATGCATCTTATTTAAAAATTTCCTGATGATGTTGCACTTAAAATTATTTATAATTCAAACAAAATTTATTCAAGAATTGAAAAATTACTATGAAAATTGTTATAAAAAGTTAATATTGAAATATTCATTATAACAAAATCTTATAGAAATATAAATTAAATATTTTGCACTATATTATCAGAAAATTTTTTTATTGCAGTTCTGTGCAGATTTGCAAAAAAATTAAATAATAAATCAAATTAAAATTTCAAATTTGATACTATAAATGCAAAAATTAAATGGAGTTCTGTACAAAACTTCAAATTCTAAAAAATTTTGCAGATTTTTTACAACAATTCTTAAAAAATTTACAAAAATATATATTTTTGCAAATTTGTATTTATTTAATTTTCCTAATAATAGCTTTGAATCTTGAGTTAATTCATTTTTAAAAACTTATTCACAGAGATTTACAAAGTAGAAATATTTTATAAAAAGCTTTGGATAAAGCTAATATTACTAATTTTAAACTTTTTAACAAAGTAGCAGAAAAAATTTGTAGAGTTTTGCTATATACTATATAGCACCTGAGATTAAGTATCAGATAGTTATAGTCTTGGAGTCATTGTAATGGAGATTTTGACTAGACAAAGAATATTTAACAAAATTTCTTTAATAATTATCTTGCATTAAAAATTATTAGTAGATATGTTTAGAACCAGGTTGTTATATAAAATTATCTAAAAAATATATAGATAAAGATCTTGATAAATGATTTAATACAAA